GCAACAATTGTAGTGGCCTTTTAGTAGACACCACATTCTTATATTTGAAAGTTGATCTAGTTTGTTTTCCCTTTTGAAAAGCATCACACAATTTATCTTTGACAAATTTTATCTTTGGCAAGTCAATGACAAGATCATGTTTGGTTAATTTATTTAAATGTTCCATATGTATATGGGCTGCCCATTTATGCCATAACCATGTATCATTATTGTTTACCATAAGACATTTTACTTTCAAGGATAAATCATCTAAATAAATCATAAAAATATTGTTAATTCTTTTACCTTTGAGTTTTACCTCATTGGTTGTTTCGTCCATGATTAAACATTCATCTTTATTGAATTTGATCTTGAACCCTTTGTCATAAAGTTGGGTAATACTTAGAAGATTGTGCTTGAGTCCTTCAACATAAAGTATATCTTCAATGGATGTGAAAGGTGGTGCACCAACTTTTCCAATGCCAAGAATTTTTCCTTTGGTATTATCTCCATAGGTGACACATCCCTTGGCTTTTAATGTTAGATGTGAAAATTTGTTAACATCTCCCGTCATATGCTTCTAACATCCACTATCGAGATACCATAGATTTTGAATGGATTTCAAGCATACCTATAAAACAAAAGAAATTATTTCTTATTAGGTACCTAAGTTGCCTTGGGTCCTTCATAGTTAGTTCATTTCTTAACCCATGCATAGTGTCCACTTGTCATACTAAAGTTTCTAACATAGCAAGCATTAGGTGTATGGCCAAGAATACCACAATAAAAACAATTTGGAATAAAGTTGATCTTGTATCTTGGAACTTGTTTTTTTCTTAACAACTCTTTTCTTTTTCTTTTGATGAATATGCTCAATTTGCACATTGTCGGTCTTCTTGGTTTCAGATTGATTACTAGCCTTTACAAAAATGGTTTTGTTGGAATTTGATTTATTTACTTTTGAATAACCAAGTCCACTTTTGTCATTAGGATATATTTGTTGGCTATGCAATCCTTCCAAACCAATTTTACCCTTTTCATATCGTTCAATAACTCTTTGTAGTTGAACAATTCAAAAAGTATATGATTCACAATTTTTGCATACAAAGTCTTGTTTTTCTTTAAGAAAAACTTGTTTTTGACATTCAATATCCTTGTTCATAGTATCAATCTTTTCTTGAAAAGCAATAAGTTTCTTTTCTTATGTTGATACCTTTTTATACAAGACTTTGCATTCATTTAGAAGTTCATCAATTTCACCTTGAGCATTTTCATCATAAAGTGTAAAATTTGTACTAACCTCTTCATTTTCATCATCATCAGATTCATGAGTAGCCATCAATGCTAAATTTGAACATTCGTCATTCTCGGATTTGGATGATGTAGTAACTTCATTATCATCCCAAGCAATATAGGCTTTCTTGTATTTGGAGTCTTTATTTCCTTTGTTTCCATCCTTCTTGGAGAGGTTTGAACAATCCGGTTTGATATGGCATTGCTTTCCACATTCATAGCATGTAACATTTGATGTGGAGACTTATATATCTTTGCTCTTTGAGAATTTCTTCCTTTTGACAAAGTTAGAGTTACCAAAATTATTTTTAGGACCAAATAATTTTCCTAACCTTTTTACAAGAAGCATGAAAATTTCATTTTCTTCTGGATTTTCTTCAATAGCGACTTTCTTGGATTCCACCTTCAAGGCAATGCCTTTTGATTTATTTTCTTGATTTTCATGCTTAGCAAGTCTTCCAAGTTCTGTCTCGTACTCTTGAAGTTTAATAAATAGAGTTGTGGATGACATATAAGATAAATTCTTCTTCTCCGAAATAGCCGTTACTTTTGGTTGTCATTCTCTAGTTAAAGATCGAAGCACCTTTAGGTTGAGTTCATCATTCGTGAGAGTTTTACCAAGAGCTTTTAAATGATTCGTCAAATGAATAAATCTTTTCTGCATATTAAGAATAGATTCTCCAGGTTCCATTCTAAAAATCTCGAACTCCTCACTCAAGGTATTCAATCTTGATCTTTTGACTTCGACTCTTCCTTCGTGTGTTTCAACCAAAGTATCCCAAATTTCTTTTGATGTTGTGCATATCGAAACACGAAAGAATTCATCCATGCAAAGTTCACCTTGAAGAAGATTGATTGCTTTCTTATCATAAATTTCCTTTTTCTTATCATCGTCATCCCATGATGTTTTAGGCTTTGATGTTCTAACACCATTGACAATACATATCGGAATAAACAGACCATTTTGGACAACATCCCATATTTCTTCTCCTTCTGCTTCTAGATGAGCCTTCATGAGAATTTTCCAAAAGTCAAAATGGAGGCTTGTTGTTACTACCACCATCTTTGAAAGTTGATTGTGCAGAAGCTATTCTGGATCTAATAGGAACAAGTTACTTTAACTTGCTCTGATGCCAAATGTAAGTTAATAACGCGCCTAAGAGGGGGGGGGGGGGGGTGAATTAGGTGATGGTCAATTTTTGCCTTCTCTTTTAAAGTTTTTATTTTTATGATTATGGTGATGAATGCAAAAAAATGCAGAAAGTAAATGAACACCAGATGTATACTGGTTCCCCTCACAGATCGAGAGTACTTCAGTCCTCTTGCCAACACGGAAGAGATTTCACTATAGTTTAGAATGATTGCACAAGCTTAATCACACCAAGGGCGATTCCTTAATATTTAATCTATATGGAGATCAAAGGCTCTTAAAACCTTTAAGATCTTGAACATTAAGTGCAAGAAGAACAATCCTCTTCAATGCACACGCTTGCTCCAACAATTCTGGAATGCAAGGTTAATCTTATACAAAATCTGATTTTTACAAAGTATGATCAATTCTTGAATAACATTATGGTTATCTAGACACTAAGACAAGATTTAATAGGAAGTTTATAGTCAGATCTAGTGCTCAATATATGCTGAAACAATGATGAGTATGAAATTTCTAAACAATGTTTCATGCAATATGTGAATTCTCAAAGTGTTATGATCAGAGTGCAAACGAATTTTATATATGAAATTCATCCTTTCATTACACCCCAAATGAGTAAAAATATACAATGGTTGAACCCCAAAAGTATCACCCTACAGCCAAGTAAAATAAAAAATATTTGAATTTTTCTTCAGCGGTAACCGATTACCGTAGGACTGTAACCGGTTAAACATACGTGATAATGTGTATATTTTTCAAATTTGCATGCCTGTAACCGGTTACCCAAAAGTTGTAACCGGTTACCACTGAACCATAAATTTTATTTTATTTTTGCAAAGCCCTGTAACTGGTTACTGTAATCCTGTAAGCGGTTACCACTGAGTAAATGTGAGAAAAACTTATTTTCTAAGTGATGGACATGCGATGTTTTACTCTTAAATGTTCATGACACTTATGTAAAATGTTTAGAGTGTATTTTGAGCACTATATCATCTTAAAAAACTTCAAATTAAAACTTGTACCTAATTGTTAAAGAATCTTCATAAATCTTCATCTTGAAAGTTGGTTGTACACTTGTAGAAGACTTCATAGAATGGTCTTGGAATATTATATGATCTTGAACATCTTCTTTTCCACATCTTTGATATTTCTTTGACTTTATGTATGGTGGTCTTCATCAAAACACTTTGATTGGAGTGCATGCAATCACAAACATATGATCTAAATTGTTTTGTTTTTTTTTAAAACTTGATATATAACATTGAGATCCATTAATTCACGGAGAATAATCTTATCATCCTTTAGTAAGTATTTATTTAAAGTCAAAATAAAGCTTTATATAGATTACCCTAACATAAAGATCGTTAGCCTCTTACCAGATTCGAACCTGAGAGTTAAAAAAAATATACATTCTTAAGACTCAAGTCTTCAGAAACAAATCAACTCTTAAGAATTTATAGTATAAATAGTTAATGATTCAGTGTTCAATATATACACATCAAAGAATATTTGTCTTTCATTAAAGATCAATTTTTAAATATCGTCAAGGGTGACTTTTGAGTAAGACAACCAAAATATATATGACACATAAACCAAATTTTAAGTAAGACGACCGAAATATATATGACACATATTTTATCTTAAACATTATTATGTAAAAGAAAACTCATTATTTAAAACATAAATGAAATATATTGTTAGAACACAAATACAACAAGCAAAATCGTCTTTTAGAGTGTGCAAAACCGTTTACTTCACATAACTTCAAAATTTTAAAAATTAACTTATAATTAAATAAGAATTTCATAAATTATTTATCAAATTAAATTATAATCGTATAAGAGTTCTATTTATTTTATCTTTATTACGTTATAATTAATTTGGACAGAATTTCTAAAAACTTGAAACGAATCTGAGAAGTATGGTTTCGAAGAACATAAGAAAAAAAAGAAAAAAGACTTATGTAGAAGTCAAAATAGAAAAATTGATTGGATGGTAGGAGAGTATATTAATGCAAAGACAGGGAGGACACACTTCAAGTGAGACTAGATTAACTCAGCTGTCACTTATATATGAAATGATATATAACCAAAAAACCATTACCATTAGCTTCTCCTCTTTCTCTCTTTTAACCAGCATATTAGAGTTTGCTTGCAGCTGTCACATTTCTTTCTCTCTCCTCCACTACCTTCTCTCTCTCATCTCTTCCATTAAAATAATTACTCCATAAAACAAAAAACTTTTTCATATTATTTTTTATTTTTTAATTAACTAACACCTCTGTTTCAAACCACCATACCACATCATCATATTCATAAACCATACCCACCTTCTCTCTTTTCTCTCTTAAAATTCATCTATTCTCTTCTACTGGAAAAAGAACAAGAGGTGTTGCTGAAAGAGAAAAAGTCATAGAGAAATCATAAAGAAGAAGAGAATTTTGATGAAGAAAGACTCATCAAGAATGAGAATACCAAAAGTAGTTGATTTGATGCATGCATAAACTAGTAGAAGAATATCAACAACCACAACAACATTAGCCGACAGTAGCAAATTTTGTTGTTAATTTGATGCAATGGCTTATCCACATTACCGATCACAGTTCGGAGACACAACATTCACTAAGGTTTTTGTCGGAGGACTAGCTTGGGAAACTCCAACCGACGAAATGCGGACATATTTTGAACAATTTGGTGACATTCTTGAAGCTGTCATTATCACTGATAAGAACACAGGAAAATCTAAAGGATACGGATTTGTATGTCTCTTTCTTTTTCTCCTTATCTCACTTTATTTCATTTCATGAGTATTATTAATATATCATACGATAAATATTTAAATTGTAGGTAACATTTCGTGATCCCGAATCTGCAAGAAGAGCTTGTGCTGATCCAAATCCAGTAATTGATGGAAGAAGAGCTAATTGTAACATTGCTTCTCTAGGACGTCCTAGACCATCACCACCAAGAGGTTATTTTCATGCTTTTACTTTTCTACCTTTACAACACTAATTCATATTTTTTTTTTTAATTTTTCAACTTACTTTTGTTATTGATTTAGAGAGATTCTTAATCAAATTGACCTGTAATAATGTTAATGGTTAATTTAGAAGTAGTAAAAGAAATATTATAAATTTAGATCATAGTATTTAAATACAAATTCCGTAATCAAATATAGTGTTTTTTATCAGTAAAATAACTATTAGAAACTGACAATATCGGTTTCTTTCAGTTGAACAATATCGTGTATTTTTATTATTTGAATCACATTGTTATTCTGACATTGGTAGTGTAATGCAGGGAGAGGCAGTACATATCAGGGTGGGGGAGTAGGAGTAGGGACAGGAGGGGCAGCGGCAGCAGTTGGATACGGTGGTGTTCCGGCGGGAGGGGCGGCACAAATGGCAGGAGGAGCAGCAGCAACACCAGTAATGTATCAACCATATGGGTGAGTTAATAAGTTACTGTGTGGTGATTTTATTTATTACCCATGTTATGGTAAGTTATGACAGTCAAAGGAAAACTGGTCCATGGTATTAATTATATAACTGCATATAGACGCACACATTGCTGTCTACATATGTCTCTTGACTGCTCCCCCTCCAATTACAGTACCTCTCATTGTCAGTGTCAAAATCTCCACATTTCATTTCTTATAAAAAATTATTTTACCAAGTACTTGTCCAAACTTTGCCTACTTTCTCCAACAATCAAATAATTTAAAATATCTTTAAAAAAATAATAACTCTAAGGGTTGACACATTTGTTAAGGTCTGAGACCTGACAATGTTGCTTCGAAGTCTCATGTTTGAATTTCATTATAATATAAATATTATTATGATGTAAATAATTTCGGTTATTTTAGTCTATACAAAGTTTTACTCTGACTTTAAATGAATCCTCCCGTTTGTAGACGATGAGGAAATGGTACTATAGCTATAAAATTTGATTACACTTTGATTAATTTAAGGTCCCCACACGACAACCAAAAGCTAGTGATATGAAATTAATGCTTGTAATTTTCTTCACCGAAAAAACCTTACAATAATAACTTCACTGCTATACTACTACTCCACAACAATAGAAGCCTACCATTTTAAGTTATTGCTTCTCTAAGAAAAAAATACATTACTGCATTCAACGTTTTTCATTCCTTATATGCTTCCTAATTTAATTCCTTTCATCTCTTTTCTTCAGCTACCCCACCTACGCTCCTGAATATGGGTACCATCAAGTAAGCATCTCCCTTCCATAATCATTTATTATCATACAAAATTATAAAGTTTTCATTAATTTTCACATTAGTACTTAATAGTACTATGTTTTAAAAATAGACCAGAATCAGTTAATTAGTTGATTGATTTAATGCTAAGTGATCTCTTTCAATTTAACCAGAGGTGTCGTGTTTTGCAGAAAAGATATCTAAATTATTGGTTTCTTATGCAAAATACTTATTTATTAACTTGTTATGGAACTCATTAGTTTGATCTATTATTTGATTTTTGAAACATTAAATAGAGACTAAAGTTATGGGTGATGATAATATTGGGCTAATGAATGATTTGTAATTATGAGTATAGGCCACAATGTATAACCCTCAAATTCAGCAAGCACAATATTATCAACAAGTGTATGGACCATCATCTTCAACTATGGCCTCACCATATTATTATGGCTATTCTATGCAACCAGCTGCACCAAGGGGTACATTTTCTACCCCTCAACCACATCGCATACCAGCTGGACCATCCTATCTATACTATCCTACTACACCGATCGAAGGCGCTTCCTTCTCTCCCGCATATCGTCCATTTCAACAGCAACCCGTAATAAGGCACCCGTCTCCTTCCCCTTCTCCGACCGGTAATTTCCTCTTCTTGTTTTAAAAAAAATATTATCAATGTCAACGTATGAGTGTCGTGTGTCTGATGGTATCTTTTGAGTCGAATATTTTTATGAATTGTGATGGTCACTTACTCACTGACATACAATATATGTTATGATTTTGCTATAACATGTGGACATAGGGGTCCACATGGGTAACACAAGACCCATGTGAATGAGCTGTCTTGGTTGTGCTATTAACCGTATTATGTATGTATGGGTCAATGAATGAGAGAGAGAGAGGGTCATCATATAAAGTAACAGTGAATGCATGTGGTTTCTGTAGGAATTATGCATGGTGGTTAATTCTTTAAAGATCCAGTCAAAATGGTCTTTGCTTTTCATGCACTGGCCCACTTTGCATTCTCTGGTTTTTTTTAGATACTGCCCATCTCAGAAATTCATGGATTTTCATTAGCTGTATTCACACAAAAAATGCACCATTCACTTAATAATCATGCTTGTAATTGTTGGGTCGAGATCAATGGTACATATATATTTGAAAACGTGTAAGACAAATTACTGCACAGTGTCTAAACTAAAATGTGTAACAGTTAAGTTATGATTAAATAAAAATCATAAATATTTATCACACTTAAGCTGTAATTAATCTGTCCAGAACCTCTACAAACATGAAACTTGTGTATCTTTTTCTATTAGTATTATCATGTTAAGGTGAGTTTAAAACTCTTAATTTTTTACATATTTGTGATTATTAATTGTTTATTATGATTGGTGTGATGATCAGATTCACAGACTCAGCAACGTACCTCATCGGAGACACCATCTGGAGTAGTTATAACTTCGGAAAGTTCAAATACTCAAGGGAAGAACAACTAATAAAATACTATATACCCTTTAGTTTCAACTGTATAATAATCTTCAAATTCAATTTCATCACATTAATATTCTTCATCTTTTTCCACATTATTATTATTATTATTATTATTATTATTATTATTATTATTATTATTATTATTATTATTATTATTATTATTATTATTATTATTATTATTATTATTTCAAAAAATATTTCTGGTCGACATGCCGTTTTAAACAACAGTGGATCGATTAATCAACTTCATGGAGATTATTATCTTCATTATCTTTTCCTTGTCTTTATGCATTTTAGCTTAAAATGATTGTGTTTTTTTTTTTTGTACTAATTCTTTCTTTATGTGATTTTAGTTAGCTCATGAACATGTTACATCGTCAAATATATGAAAATACTAAATAAGAAATTTGTTCTCAATAAGAATCCAGTTAGAAAACAATATCATATGGAAAATAATGAATGTAATGTGTTGTTGAAATGAAAAGTTAGTTGAAGAATGGTTTATGTAGCTCTTAAGAGTGTTCTCCTTTCTTTAGGAGATAATGGGAAGAATAAATTGTGTCCATCAATTGTAGATTTTTTAAAAACTCAAACATTAACATACTGACCAAAACAATGTGGCCTTCGATTTCTCAAGATTCTTCATTTCTTCTTATCCACGCATACGCATCTCGCTTGCTCAGAACGTAGTTCTTTGATTATAATTTTTGTCATTTAGTGACACTTAATGGATAGAGTATGAGTTAATTGCCTAATTGTCAAGTCTAAATGAGTTTCAATTGATTCTAACATTTCAACGACTTTCGCATATAATGGTAGACATGAGAAATATTTTATTAGTTTGTGATTGGTTGTATTTGCATCGCCTGACCTCCGATCGACATATGAAGTATCACATGATACTAAATCGTATGTCTTTCGATCTCGGCTAACATGTTATTTATTTTTAGACGTAAACGAATATCCCTTTCTTGTTTTATCATTAGCTTTAGGGTGTGAGATGAAGCAATGTAAATTGATCTTATCGGTTGATCAGAACTTGTAAGGTGGTAGGATGATGATCTTCAGACGGACTGAAACATTGAGGAGGAAAAATGGAGGTTGTACCTGTAAGGCACTTCGACGATCAAGTAAGTGTGAGAGCAAAAAGAGATACAAGCAAAGTACTAGGGTTTTAGTGATGAATAGTCAATATTCGATACCTGATCCTCACATGAGTGAGGGTTTATATAGTGCCTCTGACGCTTCGTCATGAGCCCTTATTTTTGGGCGTACATATGCGGGTCCGTAAAAATAGGTAATTGCCAAGACTTGGTCAAATCGGGCAGGTGTGCTCGCAACTAGCCGTTAGTTCCAAGGAGGAGGTAGGTTATGGGTAGCGGTCTGGTCGGTTCCTGGTTGTTTGGCCAACTTGAGGTCGGTCAGACTGAGAGGCGCTCGTCAATTGTCGTAGGTCAGTGCTGGTCCAGGAGGAAAAACAATCGATGGTGCCCGACGGAGGGCGGGAGAGCCTGGGTCGTGGTCGCACAGGTCGTGCCGAAGGAGGAGGTCAGACTGGGCCCACTCTATCTGTTCGTCCAGTCTAGAACAGTAGCCCCCAAGTCGTTGCTTCTGGGCACATGAGTGATGACTTAACACTTTCTCGTGGAAAGGGGCACTTCTTACGGGGAGCGTGAGCATCGTCCGTTGTGTCTTTCTCGCAGGAAGATGATTAGTTGGTCGTATGAGCTTCAAAAATTGAAGAAGTAGTGTGTTTTGGGTAGTGTGTGTTGACGTAGTGGCGCAATGATGGCCTAGGAGCTAGGGTGCAATGACGATAATCCTACGGTTCCCTACGCGTGTGTCTTTCACGCGCGGGCGACTTTAGCTATAATTACGGGAGGAGTAGGGCATTCTGCATTTTTTGTTCTTATTTTGCATTGCTCGTTATTGCTCGCCTGTCGACCGCCGCTGTTTCTTGAAGATTAATTGTTCGTCAGCGTTCTTTTAAACTTCCTTCCTTATTTAATTGGTAAGATTTCAGATTTTCGTTGTTATTTAGTTGTTGTAGCCTAGATTTTCACGATTTTCTTCTTAGAAATGCATGCGGTTAGACTTTGGATCCTGTCTGTTAGAGTGTTCTTGGGGAGTGTTGGTGGTAGACGGTGGTTCTATAGTTTAGAATCGTCGGAGCCGCCGTGGATCTTCCCCAGATTTTTTTACGACATGTCGTAGATGGTCCTTGAGGATTTAGATCGTTTTACTGAATGAAGTTCGCCTAATTGGGGAAAGTGGTTGTTCGTTTAGATGCCTTAGTGATGGTTCTGGTCGGGGACATGGTCCTCGTTTATCAACACCCTTTCACTTGATTAGTTGTGGAAGGGTGGTTTTGACATTGATGTCGACCACACCTCTATCCTCTGTTTTTCAGGTACTATGGCTGATAATGTCGGAGGTGACATCTTTTAGGAACCTGTTGGGTCTTCTCAAAGTTCTATCGACGAGACTCGTAGCATGTTGAACATCTTGGAGATATCTGGGGATGAGTCGAACCAGTCCGATTAACAAGTAGGGGGAGAGGATGTAGAGATGGACCCCGCTGATCAAGGTGGCCTGTTTCCACCGAACAACGATGAAGACCCGAGGACGTGGGTCATGGAGGATCCTCGGGATCATGGGTATCATTTTATCGAGCACCAGTATGACGTTTTTACCGATGTATCTTCGTACTCGGATGGTGAGGACGACACATAAGACTTGTCGGTGTGGGTCTCTTGAGAGAGTGCCCGGATCTGCTCGCAATATGACAAACAGTGGATATCGATGTATGATATAATGTTTTGGGAGATGGGTCTTCGTTTTCCTTTTTCAGATTTCCAGGTGGCCGTTTTCAGGCATCTCTGACTGGCTCCTTCTCAGCTGCACCCGAACGGGACCGCTTTCTTGCGGGCGTTCGAGATCATGTGTGATTACTTGAGGATAGGGGCCACTATCTCTTTGTTCTCATACTGCTTTCACCTTCAGAGGAGCAAGGTCGACAACAAGTGGGGATGAGTCGCTTTAAAGCAAGCCAATGGGAAGTTTTTCCAAACTTATTTGGAGTATGTCTGATTTTTCAAGGACAAATCCGTTCTAGTTCATCATGTCTCGGACAGGGCTATGCTGAATGTCTTCCGGCTCGCCATGACATATGAAAAGGAGGGGCTCCCATTTTAAATGAGCAATGGGAGAATCAGAATAAGTTGGTCCGCAAATTCCCCTTCCAGTGGACCAGGAAGCACTTTGACAGTAAGTTGGGGACACCTATGTGTGGAAGGAGGGGTAACTCGCTGACGAGGACCAGAGGAGCTTTAATCTTCTAAACGCCTTTATCGCGGGAATCCCTCGTGTTCAACGCGCATGCCGAGAAGGAAAGCCGGTTAGGGACAAAGACAGGAAGATCGTGTGTGAGACTTGCTTGATAGGTGTTAAGGAGCTCCTCGAGAACGAGGACCCGTTAAATACTTGTGTATTTTCTTTATGTTTTAAATAATTATACATGGTCGACATTTTTAAGTCCTTGCTTGCTAAATCTAATTTGTTGTTTGTTATCCAGATAGCATAAACCTCTCCCAGAAACGCATATCCAGGAACCTTGCAGCGAAAGCAAAGATGGCGTTGAAAGATATTCAGGGTGGTACAGGGACTGCTCTAACGTCGGGGTCGGGCAACTCGTCCTCGAGTCCGACTGCTGGCGCACTGTCTCTCACTCCTGTGTCCTCGAAGGAGAAGATACCACGCGTTGGGGGAGCATTGATTTGACCATAGAAAAGGGGAAAGGGAAGTATGATCTGCCCCCTGCTACCTAGAGAAGGCTTTCTTCGAGGGTTCCGCTCTACAACTCCAACGGGCTGAGTCTCTTCACCTTGAGAGGCTGGAACACCCAGAGAAAAAGGCGACTCTGGAACAGGATGTTAGTTTCCTGATTAGGATACTGAAGATGGTGGTCTCCTACACCGGGAGGAGCCCTTCTCAGGAAGTCGAGCTGAAGAAGCTACGTGTCAAACTGGCCGAAATTGAGAAGGGGCGGAGCAACAAGGAGAAATCTCGGAAGTTGGTAGAGGAAGATCTAGGGAAGCTATCCGAGGAGCGTAAGATCTGGTTTCTTGAGAAGAAGGCTCTAGAGGAGAGGGTGGCGGCTTTGGCTTCCGAGGTTGCGCCCGCTGAAGAAGATTCGGAGGATACGAAGGACTTGAAGACCCGAGTTGAGCTGGTTGCTCGTTTTCAACTGGCGATGGATGACGCTCAGGCCACCTCCGAGGGGAGCTTCGAGAATGGGTTGAAGAAGCTCCGTGTTTTGAACCCTGTAGTTGAGTTTAATACCTCCGGGATGAGGGTCAATTAATATGTAGCCGCTGGAAAGGTATTGGTTCTCGACTATCTAAAGGAGCTCTCTATCCAGCTCGTGGGGGGAACCTCTTAGATATCGCCCGTTGTCGAGGAAGAGACTGGAGAATTCTTTCAACAACTAGGGTTTCCATTAAATTATTTCGATCCTGTAACATGATAAGTCTTTGGAAAAATCTAACGACAGATTCGTAACTAGGGTGTGCATTCACAAAGGTTTTGTTTGAGAGGGATGTTGATTCATAGTGGTCGATTGATTCGTTGGTGGTGGCACTTGCGGTGGTTTTTCGTCGGAAATCGCTAAAGGGAATAAGAGAGAGAAGGTTGGGTGAATAATGAGAAGCTGCAAAGCCACGTGAAGCCAAAACACACCGTTTTACCCTCGTTATTTTTTATTTATTATCATTATTATTTTGATTTTTTTAATTGTTGACAATAATAAAATTTTCAGCATGAAGATTTACTTTGGGTGAGAGATTGGATAATGGGCCGGATCATAATCCTCCTGAAGCCCAATGTGAATTTATTAACACAACTTGATTGTTTTTGCAGACATAAAATAGTATCGTGGGTTCAAACTGAATGGGCCTAACGCCCAGATTTCCATTGATGGAAAATACATATTGTTTCCAGACTTGCA